TGATTACAGGACTTATGTATTCAGTGTGTGATCATAGTGCCAACTTTGTCCTCTGAGTCTCTCTGACTGACTGACTGACTGACTGCTCACTAAGGCACACTGATCCCTCTGTGTATTACCCAGAGTATTCATTTATTTGCACTTCATGTGCTCCTTTCCCTCTTCCTTTTTTTCCGTCTCTCTTGCCGCCTCAACTTTTTTTGTCTTTCTCTCTTTCATGTTAGCTCAATTTTTTTTATTCTCTTCACCCTCCTCCGCTGATTATTTTCTCTCATCGTCTCTCCTCGCCTCCCGCCTCAGCCTTCCTCTGTGTCTCTCCACCACCCTTGGCCTCTTCCGCTCTAATCTTCTCCAAAAGCCTCTATGTTATCAGCTAACCACAGAACCATGCTTTGGGCACCCAGCAGTGTTAACCCAAAAACAATAAAATTAAGTGTTTAGTAAAGGATCTCTCATGGTCCAGCAAGGCTTCCTGGAACGCTAGCCAAGGCGACAGTGTCTCCTTTTCAAGCAAACCCAAAAAAGAAGGAAAAAAAACCATTCACTCTCATTGGCCTCTAAGGGGTCTGGCTATCCAAACTGTGGTGACACTGAAGATCATGTTGTTTTTTTTATGAATTTCAAATAGCAATTATATAACCTATTAATATTCTTCCCCTGAGCAGATGGAGTTATTGCCTTGGGATGAAAAAAATGAACACCTCTTAGAAAATGCTCAGTTTATTTTTGCTGCAAGTAATATACAGGCTTGTTTGAAAAGTTCAGCCAGTGTATTGATGGGTGTATTGTGACACTTGCTACTCTGTGCAAGCATCAAAAATCCTTCTCGTGGTACATCAGCTCATCTTTGTGTCCATACTGTAGCCTCCATGTCAGAGCATGAGTCAGTACGTTTACAGGTCTTGAGTTGCCACATCTTACAAGGCCTACAGAATGAGTCAGACTGCGTAGGTTTCTACTCTTTCTCTCACAAGAACGTCCATGTACCCAGCTGTTAATGTCTGTTAATACGGCCAAATATTTGTCATGTAGCAGTGGGTATGAGATTAACCCTGTAAGACCCAAATATAGAAAAACCTTTAAAAAAAATTATTTTACCTTTCAGATGTTGTTGTAGTAGGCCTTTGATGCAGAAATTAAAGAGTTTTTAAAAAAATAATGTTTATGTAAGTTTATAGAGAAATGTTGTAATATTGCAACATTGGGCTTCGGTGGGAGCAGAATTTCTGTATTTGTACTCATGTTGTCTGAACAACAATTCAGAACAACTACGGGTTAATTTGCAGGGTTGATTGCTTACTTAGCCCCATAAAGGTATATAACATTAATAATAATCACACATTAGTCATTTATTAAAAAAACTGTTAAACAGGACAAAACTCTAGCTTTTTCTAGCAACTTCTTCATTCCTTTTTTTCTTTTCATGACTGACTTTCATTGTTAGTGAAAGTCCCAAAAACAGTTCTTGTCCTCTGAAAAGCAAAGGCGAACATCACACTTGCTGCATTGGTGTTGGTGTATCCTTTATTGTAGTGTCTGCACCTCCCCCCTGTCTTCACTGGGAAATGTGCAACTAGGTCCTTGCGTACATCCAATGTAAGGTGTGCACATCTCTTGGATGGTCTCTTCTGAGCATTCAGAGGGCTTTCTGATGTCACTGTCTGTGATGCTGGGCTCCCTTTGCCTGAAGATGGTCATCCTCTCTTTGGAGTTCGAAGTGTTGTGTTTACCAGGATGAGAGAGGATGCTAGCTGTGCCTGAAACTGTCTCCTGTTCATTGTCTCTTTGCTAGACATCTTGAGAGCTTTGCAGTCCCGCTTGTAGAGGAGCCAGGCATTGACCACAACGAGGATGATGGTGTGCCAGAAGATGTACATGTACCAGCGACGGGATTTGATGGGGAACTTATATTTGGCTGTAAATGAGTCCAACAAATCCATACCTCCCATGTACTTGTTGTAGGCACCAACAATGTAAGGCCTCTCAACTTCAATGTAGGTTCTGGTGGCTTTAGGTGGTGAATCTTCTGCACAGGTTCAGTTCAAGCAAAGGATGTGTGACGGCCCTGTTGTCATATTTTTTTTAACAGTTTTTTTTTTTTTTTTCCCCCCTTTTTTTTTTTTTTTTTTCTTTCTTTTTTTTTTTTTTCTTTTTTTTTTTTTTTGGTTTTTGTTTGGGGGGGCCCCCTTTTTTTTTTTTTTCTTTTTTTTTTTTCCCTAATGGTTTTTTTTAAAAAAAATGAAAGGGGGGGGGTGTTGTTTTTTTTTTTTTTTTTGTTTTTTTCCCTTTTGGGGGTGGGGAAGCAAGCTTCATCACAACATCACCTGACAATCCAAGTTCAGATTTGGCTCGTATTCCGTTGACATTGCCTTGGTAGACGTCACACATCATGCCAGAGATTCCAGTTCTCACCCACACTTTGAATCCCCATGGGTTTGGCTTGCCTTGCATATATTGCTTGATGCTGCTGAATTTCCCCTTGATAGGATACTTTCATACTGCCTTGACAGCTTGTTATGCTCTCTACTTATCATGCTAAAAGAAATATGCATCCCAATCACCAGCCATTTAGTCAAACAATACTGCTTATTAAATTTTTTTTTTTTTTTTTTTTTTTTTTTTATTTTAAAAATAAAAATAATTTATTTTTTTTTCTCCCCCCCATTTCTTTAATATTTTTTTCCTTTTTCCCTTTTTTTGTTTTTTTTTTTTTTTTTTTTTTTTTTTTTTTTTTTTTTTTTTTTTTTTTTTTTTTTTTTTTTTTTTATTTTTTTTTTTTTTTTAAATTTTTTTATTTTATTTTTTTTTAAAACAAAAAAAAAAAAAGGGGTTTGTATTTTTTTTTTTTTTTAAAAAAAAATTTTTTTTTTGGGGGGGGTGGGTTGGGGGGGGGGAATTCTTTTTTTTGGGCCCCAAAAAAAACTGTTTTTTTTTTTTTCCCCCCCCCCCCCCTTTTTTTTTATTTTTTAAAAAAAAAAAAAAAATTTTATTTAAATTTTTTTGATTTTTTTCTTAATAACTAATTTTTTTTTTTTTTTTGTTTTTTTAAAAAAAACCCAAAAAAAATGTAAAAGACATTTTACTTACTAGAATCTGATGAATTTAGTCCAATGAAACAAAGAGATGTTGTAATCGAAAAAAACCATTGTTTGTTATAGGGGGCTTATAAAAATGTACCTCCAATACTTGTGAGACTGAACAATAGGACCCAATGACTATGTAAATGTGGTAAAACATAAGATAAAATATAACAGATTGTTTTTTGAGAATGGCTAAAGGTAACGTTGTAATTTTACAACAAGGGGTGTTACAGGGTTAAAGTAATTTCTAGAATGCCATGTTACTTTGGATGAGAAGTAATGGTTTGTCAGGGAGGCAACCGCCTACTCTAGGCTGTGTTGTACAGGTTGGTTTCAATAGCCAAGGCTCCTGAAGTGGTTGAAAGTTGAAGTAGAAAACAAAAGTCAAGCAAGTAACACAAGGAAGTACAAGCACTTTCCAAGGAGGAAAAATAGCAGTCTTTGCACAGGGCGGCTTTGTCTGGTTGTCAGAGCTCATACTGCCTCAAGGCTGTAGGTGTTGGGAACACTGCAAGCCTAAAAGTGTGTGTGTGTGTGTGTGTGTGTGTGTGTGTGTGTGTGTGTGTGTGTGTGTGTGTGTGTGTGTGTGTGTGTGTGTGTGTGGTGGCGGTGTTTTTAAGCAGACAAGCTTAAAGCATGGGTAACTTTAATATCAGCAAAATCCTTTAAAAATGAGGCGATAATGCAGCTCACCATATGCCACTACAGATGTTGATATTACATTATATAGATTAAGATAAATGTGCTGATGATGGCTTTCATGTACACCTGCTGCATACTACTGAGTATGAAACAATGGCAATTTTCACTGACTATTAAAAGACATCATGACCAGAACTGTGACCTCTTGGTTGTAATTCCAACTTTGGTTTGAACAGGGTGCTAAAGTGCTGGGCTACTTTGGTTTTCTGACAGCCAGTACCTGTTACTGTAATCATAGCTATTTTGCAGTGGTGGACATGTGTTGTACTTAAGTAAAAGTAGTAGTACTACAATATAATTGCACTGAAGAATATTTTTATTATTGATTTAATCTGATCAATTAATCACTTTTGTCTATAAACTGTTGGAAAAATATGGAAAATCCATCAGTCCAAAACCTACACATATTCAGTTTGCAGTCATACGACAAACTGAAGCATCAAACCCTCACATTTAAAAACCTGGAACCAGAGAATATTTGGTGTTTTTGCTTAAAAATATTCCATTAAATTTAGTGTTTAAGCTCTACTTATTTTTATTTTTTTCATGACATAGAAAATCTGAAAAGTAACTATTAACTGACAGATAAATGCAGTACATCAGTGAAGTCTAAGCATAAGTTGCATAACAAGGAAATAATCAAGTAAAATACCTCAAAATTGTGCTTCCAGGTAGCAATAGAGGAAATTCAAATCTAATTATGTTCCTTTCTCTGTTGTCACAGTGCTTTATTTCTTATTTAGCTGTCCATGGTCTTGAGAACAAACTCAGAGCTCACTCTTGTTCCCTGTCCATGGTGCTGAAAGGAGAACACAGACTTTTAAGTATAGGGTTTCCTCTGCTGCACCAGTGAAAGCTAACTGCGGGTACTCTTTGTCTTTCTGTTTGTTTTGAAAGCCTCAGCTTAAGTCCTCAACAGATGGTATTAATGCATTTATCAAAGGGTATGTTCACTCTCACCAGATTTTGACAAGCCTGCTCCAGTGTTAATAGCTATCTTTCATTATTTCAACTTAACATGTCATGTTGCACTTACACTGTAAATTTAAGACTACTCTTTCCTCATGAGGGAGTCTTAATTATGTTTTGTTGTTATGCACTCATGGCACACTGCTGATGACAAATGTCTTTATACTGATAAACTAAAGCATAGGGCTCTATAATCCCTGCTAAATTGACCACTGACCTCTGCTTGTCTTTCCCCTTTATTTCCTGCAGTGGTGCTGCTGAATTCTAAAGAGACTCAGGCAGAGCTGGGCTGGACGTCATATCCCCCCAATGGAGTAAGTGGTACTTACTTGCATTTTTCATTGTCTGTATGGTTGTTTATTTGCTCGTTCACTCGCTAGGCTCCACAACACAGCTTCTTGCTCAACAGCTGGCCCAGAACACCCCTTTTTATCCTCCTCCTCCTCATGCTACTTCTGCTCTTCTTTCTTCTACTTATCATTCTCTCTCTTCCTCACACCTTGCACTCCCGGTCCAAAGCTCATCATTATCATTAATCGATGGTGCTAATCCAGGCTAGGATACTGCGGTGTCCAAACCAGCCACACAGATATGCTGTCACAGATAAATTGCCCCCCTCTATATCGATCGATTTGGCTTGTACAAAACCATAGCGCTAAGTTATGACTGCAAGACAAATGCAGGAGGCCTTTTTAAAGAATCTTCCGCTCCCAAAGCAGTTTGTCACCTACTTCCCACCTGGAGGTTGGCCTTTCCATACGTAACACACTCGAGATGTCTATTATATAAACAACATGTGTTGGGAATGGCATGTATTGACATATACAGCATAGTGTACACATACAGTATAAACTGTTTAGTGTAGTGTGTGTTGAATCACTATCACCTTGAGGTGGCTGTTGGACCACATGCAAAGCTAAATCTAAGATTAATGGACTGGTGTGACTCACCTACCAGCCCCAGTAGAACTGAGAGAGAACACACTGCATCCACTTTGATTTAGAAACTTTGGCAGTAGTGCAGTATATCACATTACCATCACAGATAATCCATTTTCACTGTCTGGTCTGCTGTGTGTGTGTGTGTGTGGGTGTGTGTGTGTGTGTGTTTATGTGAGTTAGAGTGATAGATTCACATTTGGTTTACTTTCAATTCTGTCAAGTCAAAGAGTCTTGGTAATTCAGATAGTGAGATGGAGTAATCCAATGTAAAATGAATATATCAGATGAAAAGTTTTTCAGATTTTTGCTTTATATTGCATATTTTCTCACTGAAAGTAAATTGAAAATACAAACTTTGTCCCTAGTGGGCAAATGTACAAAAATTATTGGAGTGGGGAAGAGGTCATCTCCATCATTAATACATTGTTCTTGGGACCCTCCCCTTAATTAAGAGGACCATTGCAATACCCTCCCCTAATAAATCAATATAATTATATAGCAGTAGTGAACAAGTTGTCATTTTAGTCTATTTCACGTACTATACTATTGTCAGCAGATAAACCAGTGATTGTCAGTTATTCAATTCAAAGACAGAGCCCCAATCTCAATCACTGCCAGCATGTAACCATCACTATTTCAATATTTCAATGCCAAAATTTTGTTTTGAAAAGCCATGTTTACACTCATATTTGAGACCTTACATTCATCTTACCATATCTTCTTTCTAAGGTGTTCCTTGGGAGTGACGAATATTTAACAAACACTCCTCTCAGATGCCATTACTTTTAGTGCCAAAGGCGTTGGAGATCTAAAGAAACTGGCTGAAAAAGCGACTAAGGTCTGACCATTAGTTTCAGAAACACCACTCAGGGCTGATGTAATGACTGCGAATGTGCAGTTTGTCATTTTCTCTCTGACGTTATTAAAGAATATGAGTGCCGGTGCTTTTTCAGACACCCACACACCCACTTCAGATTATGTCATTAGGCTCTTAACCTGAACAGACTGTATTCTTTCTTTCTCTGTCCTTTGCCTTTATTTTTCATTATCTCCGTTGCCTCCTGCCCACTTCACTTTGTTTTCGTTCTTTTCACTCCCTCATATTATCACTTCACCCCCCCCACTGTTTGTACCTCTGTTGTTTTAACTATACCATTGTCTCTCTTCCCATCTTTTTTCCCCTTTGCCACCTGCCTCCATCTCTCCAGTGGGAAGAGATAAGTGGTGTAGATGAGAAGTACAAGCCAATCCGGACGTACCAGGTATGCAACGTGATGGAGCCCACGCAGCAGAACAACTGGCTGCAGACGGGCTGGGTGGCACGCCGAGGTGGCCAGCGCATCTTTGTGGAGCTCCAGTTCACTCTGCGCGACTGCAACAGCATCCCCGGTGTGGCAGGCACCTGCAAGGAGACTTTCAACCTCCTCTACGTTGAGTCGGACAGGGACCTCGGAGGTGTGACCCGAGAGGACCGTTACACCAAAATCGACACCATTGCTGCAGATGAGAGCTTCACGCAGGGTGACCTCGGTGAGAGAAAGATGAAGCTGAACACTGAGGTGCGTGAGATCGGCCACCTAAACCGCAAGGGCTTCCACCTGGCTTTCCAGGACGTTGGTGCCTGCGTTGCTCTAGTGGCTGTGCGAGTGTACTACAAACGCTGCCTCGCAACTGTCCAGAACTTGGCAGTGTTCCCAGACACAGTGGCTGAGGCGGCCTTCGCCACGCTGGTAGAGGTGCGGGGCACCTGTGTCAACAACTCTGAGGTTGACACAGACAGTCCTCCCAGGATGCATTGCAGCGCCGAGGGGGAATGGCTGGTACCCATTGGGAAGTGCAGCTGCAGCGCCGGCTACGAGGAGGGACACAGCAGCTGTGAAGGTAGGCAATGAATAAATAGACAGTGGGATGCATGGATAGATGAAAGAGGACAGAAAACAAAGAGGGAACAAAAGGAACAAGAAATGGATTGTGTTAGGAAAGAAAAACTAAAGAACCAAATAAATAAACAAGGCATAGAAATGTTAGCAAAGCAGATGTGAAGGTAGGAAAAAGAGCAAGGGAAGTCTTTCAGTCTTTCAGTTCTTTGCCACAACAACACAAAACAGAAATTTCAAACTTTTAAATTAACTACTGTTCCATTTTCTTAAAACTTTTACAAAAATCTGCCTGGACAGTGTGATTTATTTCTATGTGTGCAAATGTTGTAGAATGTCTGTAGGGGGGAAAGCTGCGAGTATTTCTGACGTTGCAAGCAACATCCCAATCTTACGATCCATTCCTACGACGACAAGCATGCCTAGTTTCCCAGTTACAGCCTACTGCATTTCACTCAAAAGTAACACCTTTTAAATCAGTCGCTTATCCCTAACCCAGTTATTCCGCTTCAGAGCAAAACACAGCACGCATCTGTCTTGTTGATCTTTTCACTGCAACTCCGCATTGAAATTTAGAGAAAGGAAAGAAGGGAAAGCAGAAGATGGAGAGTTGGAAGTTGGAAGTGAGAAGCGAGGCAGTTCATGTTGTGTAGAATGGAAGAACAGATTTAGCGAAGGAAGGAAGATGAGAGAGGAAAAAGGTTGATACATATAAAAAGAGACACTTGAGATGTGACAAAAAGATAAAATCTAAAAGAAAGCACTGTTAACAAGTGCTGAGACAAAGAGATGGATATAGGGTGGACGTTATTTTTAAAAGACGCACAATAAAAGTACAGAAAAGCCTTTCTCACTCGATTTCAATCCATCCCTGCTTTTGTTCACAACATCAATGCTGAGGGCCTCGATTTAACAGTGATACCCTGTGTCATGCATATGTCCAAAGAGTCCTGTCACACCTATCGACATGTGAGGCGTGGTATGTGAAGCGTACGGCCAAACAGTCTTAGCGGCTTTGTGTGAGTGTGAATACAATGACTAATGTACTCTTTCTTCAGATGGCTGTGCCCTATTGAGTTTAACACCACAGCCTCTCCTCCAACATTTGCATGTAGCTTGAGTGGCCTACACACACACACACACACACACACACGTACATGAAGCATTGTCAGTGTAAAGCCAGTGGGTGGCGTGGGGTGTTGCACTCTGACGTAAACAGAAAGGGACAGTATTGGAATCTTTTGTCACAACCTATTGCTCATACAGCAGCAGCAGTTTGATCGCCTGACTGTTGCTGTTAACTTTCACACCCCATCTTGCATTGTTGTGCAATGCAACGTGGGTGTTGTAGTCACTGGACAGTGTGCATTGTAATGGAGGGGTAATTTAATATGAGAGCTGATGTTGTTCTGGTTGATGGTTGCAATTGATTGCTATTATTGGAAATGTACTTGTTTTCTTCTGCCCATGATGTGTTTTTATGGGTGTGATTTATAATACTGACTTACAGCTGACAATGATAATGTTTTTCACCTTAAACTCATTGTGCCAGTAAAGGTTAAGACAATTAAACTACATAAAGACAGACAAGGAAATAACAGAAAATTTGAACTTTTGCTCTGAGTATTCCTGTCGATACAGTAATAAAAAATTGAAGTAGAGGATAGAAGAAGACAGAAAATGAAAAGACAAGCAAGGTCAGAGTGAAAAGATGACCAATTTATATAGAGGCAAATGTATAAAGTGTTGGAGGAGATCAGGGATTAGGGGGTTGGTAGAAGGTTTATGGCAGAGCAATAGAGTTAAGCGGCCAGATGTATAAATGATGCATTAAAACAAATAAACATACATACTCTATTCCCCACATATAAATTGATATTTGTTAAAGAAGAACCTCCAATGAGAGTGTGCACTCATGCAATTTGTAAAATTAATCAGACTAATTAATTAGATTTAGTGTGATTTATCATTCTTTTTATGTACATTGGAGACCTAATTTTATTTCCCTGTGCTAATATTGTCTGTCATTCTTCCTTCATTTATTTTCATTTGATCTTTTCTGTGGGACTACAGCATTTTTAGAAGTACAACAAAGGCAAAAAAACAGGCGGATAAGGGACAGAACTTTGGTTGTGTTGCAGAATTTCTGGTACTACAGTAAGTGTTTGACAGTTGGACATAAGTACTGTTCACTGATATTGGCATCTGGTCTGTGTATAAAGAAAGTGTTGCTTGACCTATTTTTTCTAATTACCAATAATGCTTTTTCTACAATAAAAGCTGAGCTGAGAATTATGAGATTTCTAACAGTGAGAGAAGCATAAAAACTTTTTAAGGGAAAAGAAGGAGTAAAGGAAGAATAGGACAAGCCAGGCATGTTGCCAAAGGAGCCAGCAGACAAGGATGGTGAAGTCCAGTGACAGCAACAATGAAGACAGGAAGCCCAGAGGGAGAGAGAAACAGAGAGAGTTCTTATATGGTATCTTTGGTGCTCGACCTTCCCTTGGTACAGTTTAGTGAGCAAGAGTGCGGCCTACTAGGTGACAAGGCCTGTCATTCTCCCTTAGAGCAATCTACCCACACCCACACATATATACACACACACTTCCCCTGTAGTGCCTAATTTCTCAGTTCAGCTGTAATGGCATGAATATGCAGCCCCAACCCCGACATCTCCCACTGCACCAGAGCTATTGATCAGCCGTAATGCTCCACTAAACTGAGGAATTGCGCTGGGACTGCTCATGCACACATATAGTAAGGGGACACACATTCAGTAGCATGCTGCGGTACGTGCAACTGCGCAGTGGACACACACACACACCCCCCCCCCTTAGGTTGATGTAGTTTTGTGTGTGGAAGAAAGACATTGAGTCTCTGTGTGTGCCTGATAGAAATGCATAGTGTGATAATAGCAGTGTGTGTAAGGGACTTTTTGCATGTCACAGTCATGCTAATGTCTATGTGCTTGGAGGACATACATTACTGACTGCTGCGAAACATAACATAGTGAATGCAAAGCAGGCCGTCACATAACAATAATGTTCAGCTAATTTCTGTGTGTGTTTGTATACATATAGTGCAGGTTCTGTAACTACATCTTATTTACACCTGGGTCTATTTGTGTAACTGAGTGAGTGCAAATGCACTAAGTGTCTCAGTGCAGGTCAATAATATTGAATAGCCAGTGAGTAGCTACTGATAATGGTGTAAGCAGATAGTGTTGTGCAGTAGAGAAGAGGATTATTACCACACGCAGTCACGCCAGACCCAGGCATTACTGGATTACTTCAGATTATAGCATCTGTTGTCATAATTTAACCTACCTAACCTTTTTTTGCCATTTTAATTCTGATACAGGCATAATTATTACATTTCTGCTTGATTGAAGCTAACTTTATTAGAGAAGATACAAGGAGTAGTCCAAATTGTATTCCTTATTTAATGATCAAATTTTGTGGGAACTTTTTTGAACACAATACAATACAACAAAATACAATAACAATGCAGGAACACACGTAGTGAGACTAATGCTCTACTAAGTCCATTGCCCCCCATGCATGCTGGGATGCTTTCCCACATGCCTAGCTATATTTGTTATTTCCTTCGTAATAAACAAAACAGACCCAAGCACAAAATACAACATAAATAGGCATTCAGATATTTAATCTTCAAATGATATGATTACATTCAACTAACTTTTTTAATTCCGCTGTAAATTATTTAAAAGAAAGCTGTTAAGTGGAATGCAGTTCCCACTGACAAACGCATCAGACAAGACTTTGAATTAAATTATTAACATGCTCTAAATTAGAACATCATATTTTCAATCCTCCTGCTTTGTGGATCATAACTGAATACAAATCTAATTGTAGAAAAGCTGAAGGAAGACCTTTTGTGTGGTGTTCGAATTCTATTCTGTTTTCCTTGCTTTGTCTCTTAGGACTTACCACAAATAAACTATAGAAAAAAATGAATGAATTAAGAAAATCCTGGCGTCTAAAGTGAATGAGAAACACTAAAGCCCAAGTCGCTCAGAAAAACTGGAAGATTGTGGTGGCACTTGACCAGCTTCTAGTTGTGAACATGAAGAGGAGTATACATGTGAAGGAGGCTGTTACTGAAAATTAGCATATGTGCCCAGTCAGCTTCCTCCTGTGTAATAAAGGTTTAGAAGCAAAAAAGAAGAATAAAAAAACAAAACAGACAGAAGTGATACACTGTTGTGTAGAAGCACCCTTTGCTTTAGCTCTCTGTCAGCAAGACCTGCATGTGCACACACAGCGTTGTTACTATATATCTGGACCCTGCACGCATTCATGAATTTGCTCTACATGTAATTGCTGTGATGAGCACACGCATGTTCTCCAGTCTCATTATGAAATGCCACCAGCAGCAACGGACCAGGGGAAAAATTAATTATGTAATTCACCTTGCAAATGCTGCTTTTCATGTGTATGTGTATTTGTGTGTTTTTGTGTGTGTTTCTGTCACACTCAGGAGCTCCATCCTGTTCTAATTAAGGCAGGCTGCTCTTTCTATATAATTACTGAGTGTGGCGCATGCCTTCAGCAGATTCTCTTATTATCTCTGTTGTTTGCTGCTCCACAATCCGGCTCCAGGCGCATTCACCACCCTGCTATTCCTTCCTATCGCTCTCCTTCCCTCTCTAATTTACTACACGCCTTCCTTCTCCTCCCCTTTCCCCCTCGTGTCTTTACTTCCCTCACCCATTTTACCCCCCATGCACACCCAATGCTGCCAAAGAAGTGTGCACTTCATTTCTATCCCACTGATCTCAGTGGTGCTTTATGACTTCCTTTAAAACCTCTGTTAGCTTGCCGTCTTTCTCCTGTCCTCTACCTCCTCGTTTTCTCTTTATTTTTCCCACTCTCCTTGCTTTTCTGTCTTTGTCCTCCCCCTTTCTTTTTAATATTCTCTCTAACATGCTGTTTCTGTCTCTCCAAACCTCCCTCCCTGCCCCCTGTGGGGACCATGTGGCAG